CGCGGGATCCTTAGTCCAAGAATCCAAAAAATGCGCGTACGCTTGGTTTGCATCATAGTTAAGTCATCTCTGTCCAAAGAATAAATATCTGTTGTAGAAAAGTGCTGCGAAGAAATGCTTGTAAAGATTTGTTAGGAAAATAATTCAAAATTAGTTCTACTTACAAGATTTAGTAACAGAGAAAAATTACTGGGAAGTTAAAAACGTCATTTTTTACACAAAAAACGTCCGAACGTCAACAGGATACAAAAAACGTCCAAATGACGTTAAAAACGGCAACCTGGCAACGCTGAGCAACATATTCAACTTCGGCAACCCCATTGATTTTTTAAAAGCCACTTCGCCCGAAAACATTGAGAAAATAGCTACATACCTAACTCTAACGGGTCTTCGAAAAGTAATTTAGTTTTAAATTTTTAGAACTAAGTTATGTATTGTTACCAATCACACTAACTCCAATTTACAGGTCTATTCTGCACGTTACCGAAGATTTTGTAACCGGAAAATTGTATTACCAAAAAATGTTACCAGTTCTTGTCATCGCGATTCTAGGTACGTTGGTAATGCAGTTAAAATATTCAGCAATTCAGCTATGAAGAATTGTGAAAATCCTGGCATTGCATATTTCACGGGGCAATAATTTGTTACCAGCTTATGAGATGGTAACAAAATTTACCGGTTACAAGAGTACACAGAATGTGAAAAGGGTTTAAAAATTGACAGGAACTTTATTTACCGGTTACAAACTTTTTATTACCAGCGCAGAATAGACCTGTTAGTAGTTTCTTATACTTCTATATCTAAAAGTTTATTATTTGCATAATACTATGTTTCATACCAGCGAGCCGTAGGCCCTGGCAGCCAGTGCTCTCTTTTCTGTACAATAACAATTGTATTGTTGTTCCTCATTTAGTAAATAAATAAATAAATAATACCACGAGCAAGACGAACATCTAACAGGGACAGTACGAACAGGCACATGTTTGTCAAAAGCACTTCTAAGAGTACTAACAAGGACGTTACTTTTAGCGTCAACTGATTGACAAGCATTCATCCCATTCTAATCTGCCAAGGTCCGAGAAAAGTGCATCTAAATTAATATTCCGGAACACAGTACATACAGTAATAAACCTTTTCGCAGTTTTACACCATTTGGTCCCCGAGGAGTACCTTTGGGTTGTGTGCAACGTTTTCGTTTTGCGCGCACGGCAACACTTACTGTGGGGAATTTCGGCTCATGTTTAGAAATGTTCTTTTCGAGGATAAAATACACATAATTATGTGTTATTTTGAACAAAATGTAGGTTAAATATAATATTCATCTTTAATATATGCTGATATTCATGCTTAATGAAGAATAATGTCAATAGTTAAGTACATAATTAACGCTTGTGTTTTATAAACTGGAGAGCTCAAATCGTAATTATAGCACTGAATGACTTTCTTAAATGTAAGTTTAAAATTAAAACTCGTTATAATTGTAGCGAAAGTGAGTAACAGGGGCGTGCCTTCTCTTTTCAACCAATTAAAAAACTTACTAGAGCAAAAGAGAAGGCACGCCCCTGTTACTCACTTTTGCTACAATCAAAACGAGTTGTCCCTTCTTGATATCTATGTTCATTGGTACGGTGTAATATAACAAGTTATGCACTGAACTATGATAATCTGTACTAGTATCTATAATAATAGACAATAATTTGCAATGTTTTTACTAATTAATTTCGGTTATTATTACAAAGTCATGACTTATGCCATAGTACGGTTGTTGCTTCCTTTCATACCACAGTAATTTTGTATACAACTCTTAATGAACAAAATGCATGCTATTTCTCATTATCAACGCTGATCAGATTTTACCCCCGAGGAGTACTCAAAAAGGTTTATTACTGTATATACTGTGTTCCGGAAGTCCCTATATGAAAATGTCTGATCGTCGCAACTTCGCTCAACGTTAATATCCAAGCGACAAAAATTAGATCATGGTCAGATATAAACGTAATTTGGTCAAATTTTAAAACACTGGTCAAGTCGGAAACAATAAAATAGTCAAGTAGGCTTGGACTACAATTTACCACATATCTTGTTCGTATAGCCATGTTTACCATCGAGAGCTGCAACCAGTGTTGCCGTTTTAGTCCTTTTGTGGCTAGAAAAAATTGTATGGCATGAAAAAGTTGTATATGCTTAATTTGATCTCATTTTTTTTCATTTAAGTAAGAGATGAATTTTTAAACTAAGAAAGGCTGATATATGTATATACATATATGTATTGTATCTGCCTTACGTTTTTATACATACATACTGTAAAAGTGTTAGGGCTGTTTACTTATCTATTAACGATTTAACTATAGTTTAAAATAGATAAGTTTACGGCCCTTAATATGCTTAAATTGTTAAATGGCCCATCAAGTCGATTGACCGTGTATATTCTTGTGGTGTGACTGTACCAGCTGCTGGTGCGACTTCAAAAACTATTTGAAAATTTTATGATTGTACCAGCATGCTGGTGGCGTGAGTGGTGAAATTAGCTAAATTTGCTAAGTAAAAAGTATTTTGGCGCAATTTCTTGCACTATGTGAGTCAAAGCCATGTTTGTGCAAGATCGATCTTTCCCGGACCTCATATGTAAAGAAAGAAATATTGTACCAGCATGCTGGTAAGTTATATGCTTCGAGCCTGATGGTACAATCACTTGATGGAGCCAGCAAGCTGGTGTTGTATATTTCCCCTTTTAATAATAATAATAATCCCAACGGTTTTTACCCTCCATTCCCGCCCATCCGCACGAGGGGCGCAGTCCGCATGACGTACGGAACCAATATTTTAAATTTTAGTGCCGAGTCACGATAGGCTGGAGTTTGTTAAGTGTCGAGATCTAAAACTGTTCAGCTACAGAACTTAATTCATCAGCTGATTTTATGTATTTATGTCAATAATTCACTTATTGAGAGAGGAGAGTATCGCTTTCTTAATGCTGAAAAGCGGATCTGATATATCAAACGTGCTGGAATGAGAGTTAAAATCCTGGCATAAGCAACGGAGTGGGTCGTGCAATTCAAAATTGAAATTGGTTTTACAAGCTTTCAGAAATATGGGACAAAAGTGTCTTGATACGCGTGAGGGAACATTAAAGCTTACATCAGCCAGAAGAGACGGACTTGAAATTGAGCCTGTCAGTAATTTAACCATAAAAATTATACCAAGCATTTCCCTGCGACTGGCAAGTGTAGGATGGTTAATAAGTTTTAAACGACTCGTATAAGGTGGAAGACTGTATTGAGAATCCCATCGGAAATTTCTTAAAGCAAAAAGTAGGAATTGTTCTTGAATTGATTCTATCTTGTCTGAGTAAATTTGATACCTTGGATTCCAAACAACCGAGCCGTATTACAGAATCGGCCTAACTAATGTTGTAAACAGGGTTTTAGTGATATAAGGGTCACTAAATTCTTTCGACCATCGTTTCACAAATGCAAGTACACCTTTAGCCTTGTTGACTGTCACATTAATGTGAAGATTAAAATTAAGCTTAGGATCCATTGTGATACCAAGGTCCACAAAATTATATACCTGTTCCAGGTTATGGTTACCTATTATATAAAAACTGGCAGAACAGCTCTTCGCGAGAAGCACATTACTTTACATTTCTTAAGATTTTGAGGCATAAGATTTACTTTACACCAGTAAGCCATGCTGTTTAAGTCTGATTGTAGCAAAGACCTTTCTTTAATTGAAACGTACGATTTATAAAGTTTTACATCATCTGCATACATTAAAATTTTGGAGAATTTTATATC